TATGTGTATATATATATATATATATATATATATATATATATATTTATATATTTATGTGTATATATATGTATATACATTTTTGTATTCATATATTTTTTATTTATTTATTTATTTATTTATTTATTTATTTATTTATACCCCCCACACAAAATGTAAATTTCAGAACTGTAAATCAGTTAAAAATGTTGGTACCTGAAAAGTTGAAAATAGCTGAAAGTTAGTTAGAGTCCAAAAACCACATGAAAGGGAGTATAAACAGGAAAACAACCAATATGTTCAAAATAAATGTCTTTATTATTATTATTAATATTATTTTAACATTTATTGTGCATTCTTTCATAAATGTTATGACTTTTATTCTTTGTTGAATCGATTGTTTCTCAGACTTTGCTCTGACTCGTCCATCCCATCACCATCACCTCCACCTCTGTGCCTCGTTATGTGTGTGTCCCACCACCCGTGAAACCCCTCCAGGAAAAGGATGTTTTCTACCTGAGTATGTTAAATCCTTGAATCAGCATTCAGAGGAGCTTCCTGCTCCTGCAGCAACAGAAGCATGTGGATCTGTGTGGAGTTCCCTTCAAACGCATCTTTAATTGACCTCATGCAGCTGGTTTAATCACTTCGTTACCTTCCTCGCCTCGTGGCTGCTGGACTTTGAAGATGATCTATTAGCGAGGAAATTTTCTCCCGCAGAACCGAGACTCGAACGTCCACATTCCTACATCAAAGGAGGATTAAATCTGTAGGTCCATGTTTTGGACGATGCTGAGTTTGTTGCAGACGAATGGAAAACATATCCGACTTTAGCTGTTATTTAAGCTTCCTGATGAAGATAATGAAGGTGTTTGTGACCATGTGTGTTCTGTGGTTTGGATGTTTTTATGTTTTTGTGCCTGTCTCTTTAAGAACATAATCTGCTCTGATTGGTCGGCTCGGATCAAAGTCTTTTAGCTACTTTTGTGTGGCATTTAGCTAACATTTAGCTGTTTTTAGCTTGCCTTTTGCTTCTTATAGTTTTTAAGCTAGCATTTTGCTACTTTTAGCTTCTAACCAGCATTTTCCATTGATCATTTTTGGCTACTGTTTTGACGCTTTTAGCTTTTAGTTAGCCTAAAGTGAATCTGTGAATTATTATTTTCTGGATGTTTTACTAAAATCAATTCAGTGATTCATGGGACATTTTGCTAACAGACAAACACATGGATGCAGGTTAATTTAATTTCACCTAGTAAACATATTGTTGGTTTCTCCTGGTTGCCATGGAGACAGGCTCCAGCAGCAGCAGGGGGCCTGAAATATCACACCCCTACAGGAAGTGACCCTCTATCTGTTCAGACTCAATAGTGCAGGTGCATGATGGGAGCTGGTATTCAGTAGCTATCAATCCAATCATTTATATCCTCATTAATCCATGGGCTGTCTGTTAGCAAAATATCTCTTGATCCACTTGACAGACTCTAATGAACCTCTCAGACAGTAATCACTGGATGTGAACTCTGAAGCCAGCACTATTCAAGATGGCTGCCGCTGCTTAGCACAATTACCATTAAACTCAATCAGTTTTAAAAACATTAAGCCAAAATATGGCTGTAGTCACCATGATTATAACAAAGCTTGGCTTGGAAATCATTTGTTTGTCCATTAGCAAAATATCTCAAGAACAACGTGGTTGGATTTTAAATGAAACTCAGAAAGTTTAGAGTTTAATCATAAGATCTGCATCAAGAACTGATTAACGTTCAGTCAGCTCAATTCAAGATGGCTGCCATAGCCAAGTGACCTTAGGTAACACAAAAATGACTGTAACGCAACCAGTTTTGGATATTTGGAGTTAAATCAAGTATGATAGTAGCTGAAAGTTATTAACATCACATACTCTGACAGATTCCATGAGATGGTGCAAAACACCATTTTCAAGGATTTGACCAAAATGGCTGCGACAACATCCCTTTATTCAAGGAATGGCCTTTATTGTTAAATGAAATCTGTTGGTATCTAATCAGCTTCAGATGAACCCATGCCCTGTTACCAACATGTCCTGTATACGATGTTCATGTAGCGTTATATAACCGCAATGTTCCTGTCGATCGTGTGACTCCCAGCAGATTAAATGCTCCTGTCTGTGTTGGTGTGGAACATCCGGCAGATGAAAACCACGCTCCGTCGCAGCTGAAGTCGCTTCTAGTGGAAACTAGTTGTGTAGACTGCCCAGACTCTGGCTTCAGCTGTACATAAGTTAGGAGGGTTGGACACGCAAAAGTCTCAAACTTCATCCAGCAATCACTGATGAACATTTCACGGGTTAGAAAAGCTAGCAAGTGATGGAGCCTACAAAAAAGACCGAGTTGTTATTAAAAAAAGGTATGATTATATTACTAATAGACCGTGGTGGGCATAGCCATCCAAAAAGTTAGCTTCACTAACCCATATATAAACAAACAAAAAAATAGCTCTGCTAATGCTAAACGGGTTAAAAAAAAGTGGAAGCTAATGGTAAACGGCTAACCGCTTAAATGACTGTCACTCCAGTATTTCTCTGGCAGGACGCTCATCTCTACCATGATTTTTGTCGATGAAGAGGGTTGTTGGAGACAGTTCAGCATGAGGGAATCGTAGCGCTACCTCTGGCTTTTTAGCTAGCGTGCCTGTACTGTGTGCCACTAGATTAGCGCTACGTCAGTGCCGACAGTTGTCAGGGGTTCGGTTCGATAGGAAGGGCACTCGGTTCTGTTGACAGGGCAGGGCGCTCTGCTTGTATACTGGTAGGGAAAACACTGCGCTCAGTTTGCATTACCCGTCCATCTCCTTCTAGTTGAAGCTGTCGACCAATCACGTCTTGTCATGTGTACATGTAAGCCAATAGCATGCCTAACAGACTTTTTGAGACACGCCCACAACAAATAGGAACAAGCTTGTGAATTTTGTTAGTGGACTTAAAATTGGCGAGACCTAATTTAGCAGCTAAGTTTGCAAGTTAGCAAAAACGCAAATACGCTAAACGAAAAATTAGTTCGGCTATTAGCTGTTAGTGGATTAGCGTAATTGTGCCCACTACTGCTAACAGATGACTACTTTGAATGATGCGAAAACTATGACTCAACACTGTTCATAAAGCAGGGTTTAAACAAGGTCATAAACTTGTATATGTTGAAATAACATGTCAAAACCTGACGGCACTTAAAGGTGGGGTCATGTTTAAAGCTAGGATTTGTTGGTGAAATGCGGTACAACGATGTAGCAACCCTGATTCTAAAAAAAGTTGGGATGATATATAAACTAAACAAAAATAATGCTATGATTTGTAAATCTCATAAACCCATATTTGATTCACAATAGAAAATATCTGAATCTGTCTGAAGTAAAGATGGGCAGTGGTTCACTAGTCTGGGATAAACTATCTAAATTTAGTGGAACAATTTCACAATACTATTTCAGCATTTTTTATTTATTTTTTTTAACAAATTGTCTGTTAGATATTCTGTTGGTTGCAGTTTGCAGCTTTAGCCACTAGATGTCACTATAGTTCACAAAAGTTAGTAGCTGGAATTGATTTACTTTGATTATTTTGTCTGCGAGGGTTGAAAAACTACATCCACCTTGTCTAACAAGGTTGTCGGTCCTCTGGACAGATTCT